CGTCTATCGAAAAAAAAATCTATATTCCCAGAATATTGTATTGCATACAATACACACAAAGTTTCATAACAATCGGTCAAGTGGTTTCGGAGCAGGCGCGGATCCAGGGGGGGGCAATGGGTGCAATTCCCCCCCCTGACACACGACCGAGGTAGTTTATTTTGACCAATTTCAAAATTTTGATATCATATTTCATTTTGTAAATACAGTAGGTACAACCTCTATAATCCGAACTCACGATTGTCTCAACATCCAGTAATCCGAACAGAGGCTATTTGAAGTCGATGCCTCTTTAATCCGAACTGAACTCGAAAACATGCATCTACTTCCAAAAATGACGCAAGACCTTTCTGCGTATGTTGTATGGAATATTATGAAATTTTTAAAAATTGCGATATTTCAAAACACAAAATTAATTAACTAATTCTGGAGAAACGGATGAAGTTATCGGAGACCCGAAATCTACAAGAGAAAGTATTTGGTTAAATTTCGAAAATCGTCGAAAATGGGTCGAAATTTGCATGAGAAAAATTTCATTTTTGAAAAATTTTACTAAAAATTCTGAAAAAATTCAGGGATATATATCCCGACGTGCTGATTCCAAAAATATACCATGTTTATGGTAACGGAGCAATATTTTCGGAAAATTCGCTGTGAAATTCGAATTTTTCGAAATTTTTAAAAATTGCGATATTTCAACTGGACGATTCTGGAAAAATGGTTTAAGTTATCGAAGAAATGAAGCCAGAAGTGACTTCTGAGGTCCAAAATCTACAAGAAAATATATTTAGTTAAATTTCGAAAATCGTCGAGAATGGGTCGAAATTTGCATAATGGAGGTAATACGAATACATAATGGAAAATTTCACTTTTGAAAAATTCATCTAAAAATTCTGAAAAATTTCAGGGTATAGATCCCGGGGTGTTTATTCCAAAAAGATAGCGTGTTTATGGTCACGGAGTAATATTTTTTTAGAATGTATCTATTATCCATTGTTGCTTAAGAATTCTTTAATTTTTGTTTAATAAAATTTAGGTTTATTTCTTGAAGTTTGTTTTCAGTTGTGTATGAAGTTGTTATTCAATTCCCTTTCAGATTTTTGCGAAAATTGCTGATCCGAACAAATCGTTAATCCGAACACACCTTTTTCCCACTTAGGAATTAGGATTATTGAGGTTCTACTGTACACTATACGTGTAATGAAAAGAACCAAATGTCACCCATGTTATGTGAAAAAGAGTATACTAGCTAAAATTTTATAATTTTTTTTGTTTAGAACGAATTTCTGGTAGATAGGTAAAATCACACAAAAATTGCCCCCCCCCCCCTGAACGAAATCTTGTATCCGCGCCTGTTTCGGAGATTATCTGTCTAGTAAAAATCGACACAGACGACGAACAGACAGAAACGGGAAACCACTTTTTTTCTATTGTAGGGTCATGACTCATGAAATTTAGAAAACATGAAATTAGCCAGTCGTCCGATGGCTCGATGCACGGAATTCTAGATTACAATATTTTTCTGGCTCAGGAAGTAAAAATTGTAATTTACTCTCTTTTGATAGGTATCTATATGCAACACACAATACAATAGAGAGAACATACACCTCGTAGTTTTGCTTGGAAAATTGGTCGAAGCTTATTGCCACGAACTTATCTCTCCCCTGAAGTGCAATTGTTTCGAAATATCATAAGTTAATAATTAATTATTTAATTTTGTGAATTTTATATATTTTTTTACAACTCCTAGCAGCTAAAATATGTGTTGAGGGTGGACTGTTGGCGTACTGGTAAAAAGCGTTGTATGTACGTTTGTTTCCAGTGAGTTTTTCTATAACAAAATTTTGTAATCACGTCATCAACATTTTAGAAAGGACAAGTATATCTTCTTGATTAGATCGATAAATATCATCCATTAATTTTTTTTGAGTCACCTCTAGCATAGACAGTTCTAAAAATATGAATGTACTGATAAACCACAAGTATAGACTGATAATATTTTGGATAATTTAGATAGGATTAGTTCGGCAAAATTTTCAGACGACTTCATCATTTTTTTAGGAGGAGATAAACCGATTTGATTAACGATTTACCATGCTTACGATAACCTTAAAACGTTTCCAAGATTTCAGAGCACTCGATTTTGCAATTGCAAAGTTAAATTTTAAAATGTTGTTATGCAACAATTTTGATTTTGTTTCCAAATATCTAAATGTCTCAGGTAAAAACTCAACACGAATTCGTAACGATAAGTGCAGGAGTATTTATCAAATTTGAATAACATTTACTACTGCAAAATTTGGAGATGACATCACCTCATTGGTGGTGGGGAGGATCAGACAAATTTTTGTTAGTGTTTACCATCTGCACGACATTTCCAGACAACACATAAAAATTTGATAACAATCGGTTTGTTAGTTTCGGATATTATCTGTCTAATAAAAACCGATACGGAAATGAACAGCCGACAGACAAACACCTAGACGGAAATGAGGTACCTACTTTACCATACTCTAGGGGTCATGAAACTTCGAGAAAACATGAAAGCAACCATTCACCGGATCGACTCTATTACGATAATTAGCTTTCGCAAGTAAAATAAAAAACTGTTCCATACTCATCATCTACGTTGTAATTATAAAAACATTGTGATAATCCAAACTTCCAGCCTTAAATTGACACTTAAAAAAAATTTGAGAGGCCCGCGAAAAATTCAAAAATTCAAAATTTGGCCTTGGCTGGTCGTCTAACAAAATGGAACCCACGTTGTGTTTTTTTTTTAAATGGCGGGAAGACGTTCTTCCATACAAGTGAGCACACACTGCGTGCGAGTGGACAGCGCAAGAAATAAGACACAGAATTTTTGGGAGGGGGCTAAAAATCGCACCCCTCTCTAGGAGGAAAAGAAGCTGCGAGCGAGGGCGACTCGTGACTTGCCATCAGGTTGCCCAAGGTAGGCCAAATCGCATTCACTTTTCAGCTCCAAAAAACCCCTATGATCTATTCACCCACATATAATACTTCGCAAACGAAACGCATAAAAATATGAAAGAAAGAGAAAACCGCGAGTTGACAGACATACACATACGGGAAACGGAACAAGTGTTAAACCCTACCTACGTTTTTGATTAATGCAAATATCTCTCTATTACGGATGTGCCGACCGTTATGGTCGCAGATCCGCATTTGGGCCTCGACAATTTGACCAAATCGACAGCGTTACAACATCGCGACCGCCCCTGAATTCTATTCTAACCTGCATCTTTTGTGCAGGTGACGCAATAAATCTCGCCAGCCCGACTAGGAACCACGCACTCCACTTCTGCCACGTTTTCTGTGTTATTTAAACTCAATTCCATTTTAAATGTTCAATTTTTATGACTCTGTTAAAGTTTCAAAAGGGCAATAAACAACATTTAAATTCGCCATACAATCTTGTGAAATGTTAAACAACAAATAATCCTTATGTGCGATTAAAATTGGACATCAGATAATTTATACCATGGAAACATTCATCAACAAAATATTTACAAAACAAAACAGCAAAGATTTATAAAAACAAAAGACCTGGTGTGAAATAAGCTTGTGCAAATAAAAATATTATTTGAGGTTAAAACTGCAGAGCATGAAATTTACGTTCAATTAAAATTACCGTTCAATTAAAATTATACAACAAAGAAAATTACTGAGGTTAAAATTGTGAAATAGAGAAACATTGTGTGAGGTGAAAAATTGCAAAGTTAACAAAATTTGCATAAGATTAATACTTGCCACACTTTATCAACGATTCAAATAAAGAGTTTACATTATGTTAAATTATAGTTTTGATCTAAGTGATTGGTTACTTTGAGAGTTTATCGTGAACTAGTTACTCCAACAAAACACATAATAAATAAACACAAAAATATCTTGTCATCGAGGAAAAAGCGTCTCGGTAATGTAATTTTTAACGTTGCGAGGAAATGGCTCGATGATGTAAATTTTAACGTTGCGAGGAAATGCCTGGGTGATGTAATCAATCTTTAACGTTGCGAGGAAATACCTCGGTGACGTAATCAATCTTTAACGTTGCTAGGAAATACCTCGATGATGTAATGTTGATAACGACGCTACTAACGATAATAACTGCCTAAAGGAAGAAATTATTTTAGGCCCCCGCCGCCAGTCCACGACATAATGAATTTTGTTAATTTAACTGCCGTAAATGAACTATTAGCAATCTTGTGTGAAGAATTAAGAAGTGTTATAATGTAACACTCTAGTATGAGCATCCAGAAACCTCATTCATAACTCGTAAACAAAGGTTGATATCCTAACTAAGTGAATTTCATGAAATCTCCTAGTAAATATATGTCTACGCAAATCTAATATCTGTTAAATTGTGTTAGAACCAGTTAGCGATTAAAATCCTAACCTAGGCGGTGAATTAACAAACAATAAAACAAATTTACAGCACGTGTCCGCGTTGCGAAATCGTTTTATTCAGTAATACTGCCTTTATTGTGTCACCCTGTATAAGCAAATCTAAAAAATATGAATGAAATGATAAATCACAAGTATAGACTCGTCATATATAGTGGTTAAGTGGTGGAATAGCCTGTGGCTAAACTTCGCCACCTTGGATAAATAAATAAAGACGTTATTATTATATTTTGGAGATTTTAGATAGGATTTATTTGGCAAAATTTTGAGCTAAAACAAAAGATTCTTTGTCAATGGAAACTAAATGCACATACAGCGTGGCATCGCTCATATGAAATATATTAGTGCACTTTAAATACATATATACTTTACAGCACTTATTAAATTTGTTATTTTAGATCGCTTACAGGCAGCGGCTAATTCGAGCTATCTGCGTTAAGCTCACTATATGACATAAACTAATGTGTATGTCCCATTTAAATATCAGAACGTTAATCGAATGAGCATTTAATAGAAAATTAAATTTCCCCATTAAACACTAATAACAATAAAACTTGGAATAAAAAATTAAACAATAATTGTAATATTTTCAACGGAAAACATTTATTTATTATTTAATACTGATGAGTCTAAACTACTTTTGACCAGCTTGTAGTTTGTAAAAATCGTAATATAAGCCTTTCTTTTCTAACAATTCAACATGGTTACCCATTTCGACAACAATTCCCTCATTCAAAACACAAATCAAATCAGCATCTTGAATTGTAGTTAATCTGTGTGCTATCGTTATGCAGGTCCTGTTTTTTTTAGCATTGTCTAATGCTTCTTGAACAATCTGAAAATTGTCACTTAATTGTTGTAAATAAGGTATTAGTAAGAAATTTTACCTTCTCGCTTTCATTATCCAAAGCAGAAGTCGCTTCATCTAGGAGAAGTATACGAGGATTTCTAATTAAAGCTCGAGCTATAGCGACTCTTTGTTTTTGCCCACCTGATAGCTGAGTTCCTTTATTCCCTAAGTTGGTGTTATAGCCCTGAAATTAATTCGAATAAAATTTTTTAATTTACATTTCGAAACTTACTAAAGGTAGAGCTGAAATAAAATTATGAATATTCGCAGATTTTGCAGCCTCAATAATCTCATCCACGGATACATTTCGGTCGTTTGCCCCATATGCAATGTTCTCAGCGATTGTTCTGTTAAACAAATTTGGTTCTTGTGATACAATTCCCAAATGCGATCTCAGATCACTTATTTCTATAGTTTTTACATCTTCTTTGTCAAGAGTAACCTCTCCAGATGTTGGATCATAAAATCTTTCAAGCAACTGAATAATAGTCGATTTTCCACAGCCACTTGAACCAACCAAAGCTATAGTTTTTCCTTGAAGTATGTTCATGTTTAAGCCTTTTAATACCGACACTGTGGGGCGAGTTGGATATGTGAAGTAAATGTCTGAATATTTAATATTTCCTCTTACCTAAAATTTAACCATAATGTCTAATACACTTATTTAAATTTCTATCTAGATTTAAAAAGGTGGATGTTACATTTAATAAATTGACTTGTAAATTCACACGTGAAACAATTTTACTGTAATTAGAATGTAAGTATGGACACAATTTGATAGGAAACGTTATATTATATGCAAAAAGCTCTTACTTTTTGTAAGTGTACCGGATTAGTTGTGTTCTTAATTTCCGGAATTCTCTTCAGTAAAACAAATATACGTTCAGCAGCAAGTAGACCTTTTTGAAAATTCGGAGAAAAAGAAAATGCATTCCCAATTGACCATGAACCCACAATAACAGTTTCCGAAACTCTGCAATTATAAACACATTAAATAATGATATTTTTACCTTAATAAGATTACGCACTTGAAAACTATACCATAGTCCAGTTGCGTTGAAATCATTAAATAAGCTCCATAGCCCATTGCCACCGCATAGGCGAAAAGCATTATACTTCTAGCGATACCTAGTACAATGGATCTAAAATGCATTTGCTTCTTTACATTAACCACATATGGCGTTAGTTCTATTACATAGTTTTCATAAAAAACTTGTTCACAACCTAATGAAGCAATTGTTCTAATATTTCCGATTGCTTCAACCGCTATCTACAAATAAATTATGAAAGTAAAGCATAAACTATTGCGCTAAAGATTTCTTACTTTTGCTGACTTTTCTAAAAATTTTTGGTTGACTTGTGTGTCTCCTTGTGTGAATTTTTGTTCAAAAAACACAGACAACAAAATAACTGGAGAAAATGAAATCAGTACCAAAGCTAATTTCCATTCAAAGTATAAGGCCATTGTATTTGCTATTATAAAGGTTGCAATGGAGTTTAGTACTGTACCAATTCGAATTCCAGCAGCCTAAAATGACAAATTTTATGAGTTCCATTTAGCACTAGTCACACTTGCCTGGGTATTTTTTGTCTAGCCTATAATAAAATATAAATCATATTCACAAATAAACCATATATGTATAATACACGAACGTTAAGTACGACTGAACAACTGAAACCAGTTCTACAGGTACGCACATTTCCGAAAACGTTACAAAAAATATTTTACAACAAAAAATTAAATAAAAAAAAACTTTGTATCTATCTGTCAGCAATAAGTTTAATTGTCGTAGTGTCTCATTCAGGACATGCTTTTAAACTTGGTAATAACTCCAACGTATTTTAGTTATCGTAATGGTAGTGTATGCCACAATAATAACTTTACAAGAAGGAAGTTTTTCAAAATAAATTATACTTACTCCTTGCACACTAGCTGCTTCTCCAGATAGTTTAGCACACAAAGCTCCAACCCCATTATCTTTTCTATCAAACCATGCCATTTCTTGCGACAGCATAGCTCGAAACATTTTTGCGCGTATTCTTAATGTTAATTTTTCTCCGGCAATGGAAAAGTAATACATCTACAATAATGGTAAAGTAAAAAAAAATACATTATTTATAACTAAAAATAAACACTCGCCTGCAAGAAAGTGGCTACACCAGTAACGATGCCTATGATAACAAAAAACAGTGAGAATGTGTTACTTTCTTCGCGTACGTACCACTCTCTAGGATCTGCAAGAACCTACAACCCATAATTAATATAAACTGTTGTAAATACTGATGTCAACATACGCCAATTATGTCGCCAAAAACTAAACCATACACTGGTAACGCGGCCCCTGTTATCACAGATGTTATGCATCCCACCATTATGTAAAACCATTCGGGTTTATTTACTTTTAAAATTGATATAATAGAACTTCCTTTGTTTGTTACATTGCTATCATCAAGCTGTAAATCGATTTTTAATGTTACATACACATATTGACAGATCTCTTTATGTTTGCAACATCAAGAGGACCAAAAACAAAATTGATTATTATCGTTATATATCTTTTTTTTTACGTAAGTGTATACGGCATGTAGTCATGTACTTACATTCTCTTCAGAACAACTTTCAGTAAGGGTTGATTCTTCAGGCATACTTGCAGCTACTTTCTGAATACCATTGATTAAGGCTTTTTCCTCTAAATTATAAATATTTTATATAAAGCAAATAGCATTAGGTTATAAATTTACCAGAAGACACGTCCTCAGTTTCACTTAAGCCCTGAGATACAACTAGATTGTAATAATCACCTCTCTTTTCCATCAATTCTGCATGATTACCTTCTTCAAGTACTTTCCCTTCAGATAATACAATAATACGGTTAGCATTTCTTATTGTGGATAATCTATGTGCAACTATAATAGTAGTACACTCGCCACTGATCTACAAAAAAGCAGAATAATTTTCTCTAATAATCTACATATATATTATTCGATTATATACTTTGCATAACTTATTTAGAGAGACAATTTAAAACTATTTTCAAATAAATAATTTATTTCATTTAATGGTTACAAACGGTAATTATTATTTTTTTTAATGGAATATGCTTTATATTTTTATAGATTTACATTCTTGAAAAGGGCTTCTTGATATCTGCATTTTTATGAAAAAACGATTATCTTCAGCACTCTACAATTTTTAAATACTGAAGTTTCAAATTTGACTTTTTAGACGCGGTAATTAAATTTACAAACTGAGTTTTTCATGTTTTTCAAATGAGACAATTTTCTTTTGTTTGTTAGGATTTATCTTCCAAGAAATATATTAGGATGAATCTAATAAATTTAGTGTAAAAAAAAATGTAATTAGTGATACGGTTGAGCTCTAAAATGTCCTACGTTCATGCTCCCAATATAAGAAAACTGACAGTTTGCAAAATTTAATCACCCTGTACAAATAAGATAAACTTCCTTAAATTCGTTACACATATACTAAGGCAAGATAGGTATCTAAAAAGTTGTGTAAAAATTCCAGACGTCCGTCTTTAAATACGGACTTTTTAACATAAAGATGCAATTATGATAAAAACTGGTATTCAAAAAACTTTGTGTAATATAATGTTACCATTTTTTTATCACATTAAAAAAAAAAACAGTTAAGTATGTCTGTGTCTTTTTCAAACGAAATATCCCATATATTTGAGAGTAATTTCAAAATCAGTTCTGTCAGACTACGGTCGATTAAAAATTTGTTTCAATAATACATGGAGAATGTGTAATGTTCCGCCATCAGACTCTTGCGACAACTATATGCATTATAATTCGGATTCAAAAACACTTACAGCGTCCAGAGCTGCTTGCACTTCAGCTTCACTTGTTGTATCTAGGGCTGAAGTGGCTTCATCAAGTAAAAGTATTTTTGGTCGTCGAATTAATGCTCTCGCTATCGCGATTCTTTGTTTTTGCCCACCAGAGAGCTGAGCTCCTCTTTCACCAACAATGGTATTGTAACCACGAGGCAGATTTTGAATGAAATTGTGAGCGTTTGCTTTTTTTGCTGCCTTTTCAATATCTTCTTGTGTTGCAGATAAATTACCGTATCTTATATTTTCCGCAATAGTGGCTGCAAAAAGAGCTGGTTCTTGCCCAACGACTCCAATTTTGCTTCTCAACCATGACAGATTTAGATTTTTAATGTTGTTGTCATCAATAGTCACCTGTTAAATTAATTCGAAAAATGTCATATTTGTTTAATGTCTCACAGTGTACATACAGTGCCAGAAATGGCGTCATAAAATCTTTGAATTAACTGGACACATGTTGACTTTCCACACCCAGAAGTTCCTACCAATGCGACCGTTTGACCTGATTTAATTTCGAGGTTGAAATCCTGTAAAATCTAAAATAAACATTATATTTGTCTCTGTTTAAAGTACGAGTATTCTAAATTATACTTTTACTTCCGGCCTTGATGGATAATGAAAATAGACATTTTTAAATGTGATATCACCTCTCATTGTATTTGGTTTTACGCCTAGATTTTTATGAAGGTTTATTTCTGGTTCGGTATCCAGAATTTCAAAAACTCTCGATGCAGCTCCACAGGCTGTTCCAAAAATTTCAAAATATGGTGCTCCAACACCAAAATTCCACGAAGCAATTAAAGTACAAAAAAATACCTTCAAATAACAACAGTTTTAATTTAAATTATAATAATGCGCAGTTTATTTAAACCACGTATTTATTCATCATTTCATAAACCAGTAATACTTACAGATACCATATTCCCTGGAGTATAAATTCTTTCCTCTTCGGGCAGACTTCTTTCATTTAAGATTAATCCGACACCATACCAAAATGACAAAGCGTATGAAGCGAACACAAAGAACCACATAAATCCATTGCTAATTCCGGAGAAAAGATTTTTCCTAATATTATTGTTTTTGGCAGTTTCTAAATGTTTCTCATATCTACTAAATTCTTTCTCTTGACCATCAAAAGCTACTACTGTACGCACAGAACTTAAAACCTCCTCGGCAATAGCTCCAGCAGTACCATAAGCTTCAAGCTCTTGTTGTGAAAATTTAGTCGATAACTAGTGTATATTTGTTGTTTAATGAACTTTTTGTATGACACTTTTTAAACTGTACTTACCCACGAAATTATTATGGTAAGGCCGAATGATACTGGAAGGGAAACCATGCAAATTAGGGCCAACTGCCATCCCAGAACTAATGCCATAATTATACCAGTTACGAAAATAGTTTCAAAGAAAATAAAAATGCCGACTTTTTCTCCTATTCCTTCCTCAAGTTTAGATAAATTACTACAACCATTATACTAACGTTTTAAGCACTTTTTATTATGATGTAAAATGTAAAGGTATCCCTCAAAAATGTTTGTTATTTACCTGTTTGGTTCAAACTTCTCCTCAACTGAGAAATACCCTTACAATTTTAGATGATCGATAAGTACCGTATATGACTTACTCTGTGAAAGTTGTAGCAAAATCTCCAGTCTTATTGAGGTCGTACCAAGAAATATCCATATTTAAAGTTTTTTTCAAAATAAGTTTTCGTATAAGAAAAATCTAAAAACATCATTTTTTACTGTTAAATTCAAAAGTGGTGGACATTTAGGTATAATTACCTGTTTTAAAGCACTGTAGGTGAATAATACTCCCGCCAGGTATGTTGTTATAATCATAATAATGCCTAAAACGCTTGCGAAAATTGCAAAATGTCGTATACCATCATAGAGATTTTCTTCCGCAATAATGGTTTCATTGTCAGTCAAATTTTTAGTTAAACTTTCAGCGTAGTCAACGATAACACCAGTAACATCGCCAAAAAGTATCATTACGTAAGGTTGAATACAACCACATATTACAGCACATATTGTTCCTAGAGCTATGCAAATTTTGTCTTGCACTGTGCTATACCGGAACTAAAACAGTACAAAAAAAAATATGTATGCAAATGGCATCTACAAATTTTTGATTTCGAAATGTTATTCTTATTTTTTTTTTACAAAAATGCACATTTTTTGTTAAATTTTATAAAAAAGTTTCGCAGTTGTTATGGGCGAAGATTTTATTCACTTCACAACAAAGGTTTAATATACATATATCTACCCTCTGTAAGAATCTAGTTAATTTCACTTGTGTAAACTTAAAATAAGAACACAACAAAAAAGTTAAAGAGACAATAAGTCGCCAAGCATGTTTAAGATATGATCTACCTTTAATAATAATTCAAGAATTTATTTTAGTTTATCTATCAATAATACCAAAAAAATAGAAATTACAACAAAGTAATATTTGACCGGTGACATAGCTAAATATAATTTCTTAATCTAAGCATTATCAAATTTAGCCTTAACAGACTTGTTAGTCCGTTTTGTAATTCATCATGAGATAGTAGTTTCGTTCCTTAAAACGATTATCATCATTGAAGGGTATTGTAAATCAATCGCAGATCGCAATGGCAATCAATTTCATAAACACTATCATTGCCAAAAAGTTTTACAGTTATTACAGAGGAAATGTAAATTTATAGATAAATACTTATAGTAAATTTGTGTTGCTAACAATTTTAGAAAGTTATATGTATAATAATATTATTAATACATATATGAATCTATAGAACAGCTTAAAACAAGAAATTTATTTTCCTTCTACGTCTTATTCCTCAGCAGCAAAACAATTTCATGTAATTTCTTTAAAAATTGAATACCTGAATACAACTGAATCAAAAAATAGGGTACGGTGGCCGATATTACACCGGTTCCTAAATTGCACCACCGACAGTTTACAGTAAACTATCAGCCAAACTTGCAATCTATACTTCTATACTTATATAATAAAGCTGAAGCTTTTGTTTATTTGAACACGTTTATCTCAGAAACTACTGGTTCAAATTCAAAAAATCTTTTTGTGTTGGATAGTCTATGTATCATATCTACATATAGGCTATATAACATCACGCTACGATCATTAGGAGCGAAGTAGCAATGAAAAATTCGGAAAAACGGGAAAATTATTCCTCCTTTGAGAGCTTCCGTTGCGTACGCTGCTTAAACGGTTAAAGTTACGTAAAAATCATGTATGACGAAATTGTTCCCCTCTAAAAGTTCTAAAGAAAAGTCCCCGACAGCATATGTCTATCTTTTAAAGTCGACTCAGTATAACCTTTTTTATGGTAATGAAATTTGTTCTAAAATAATAATGCATTATGTGTAAAATTCTCGCGTCACAGTGTTTGTAACCGAACTTCTCCGAAATGGGTTGACCGATTTGTATGAAATTTTTTATGTATATTCGGTAGGTCTGAGAATAGGTTGTAAACTATTTTTTAAACCCCTAAGTGATAAGGGTGGCCCACCCTAAAAAATGTTGGTCTATTTTTTGGACAACATTTTTTATTTTTATTTTTTTAAGAATTGGCATCAAAAAATACACATAACCCTAAATTTTCACCTTTCTACCACCAACCCCCATTTTTTAATCGTCTATATAATAAAAATCAATTGCTGTTCCTGTTAGTCTCGCTAAGACTCAAAAACGGCTTGACCGATTTGAAGAATTTTTTATATTACGGGGATGGTTTATAAATAAAAAAATAAGGAAAACCTAAAAGAACAGTTAAAAAATAAAAAAAATCTAAAAATTTTGTATGGGAATCGCCACTTCGAATTAATTTCAATAGTTGGCATTTCTGACGGACCTGTCGTCTAACTGACGTGTCATACAAAACTAATTCTTCCGTGCAATTGTGAAAAGTATATTGCATTTCAAATCGTTCTTTGTTTTTCGTAAAAAAAACGTCGTTTATTTTAAGAAAAGTCTTGGTTAAAGTGAATTTAATTACACATTGCGAAAGTTTCTTATTAATTTTGATCTGCCATTCTATTTACCTATATTCACTTTGTTGGTTTCGACAAAACCTCAAACTTTACCGTTATTTGAAGATTTAATTTGAAGTTTTCAATATTTCAAAATTCTCAAGACAAAACTTACAGATTTGATTGACTGTGAAAATAATTCTGTGTCGTTTTATGAAGTTCATTAAAATGCCGAGAAGACGAAAGTCTCACATAGGTCCACGAAGTCAATCAAATGTGCGACGAACTACCTCAGGTGCAAACCGCAATGATTTATTTCATGGGTAATTCGGATATGGAAGTTGATCAGCGTTGTGCTCATAATCAACATGAATAAAATGAATAAAACTGAGTAGAAACTAATATTCGAAGTACGAAGTACCTACTTCATTATTACTCTTATATACCTGAGCATCTACTCTATGTACTGAGTACCTACTTGGAAACATTGTATATCCCCGGACACAAATTGAACATCTACGCGTTTTGTGAGCATTTAATCTAAAAATGAGGATCGGCGTGGCAAATAACTGAGCTGTCTGTAAAGCAGCTTAGAAAACGAGTAGGATCGTTGTAAGAGTGAATTTTAACTAAACATGGCGACTTTCATGAACGTGGAACGTCGTCAAAAGGTGCATTCAGTTTGAAAAACACATTAGGAGCATGAATATCGAAAACTTTTCAGGTAATTAACTCTTATTTATGCATAAATTGTGCAGTGCGTTTTTTATAACACTGGCCATAGAGATTCCCATCTCAAGGTGTCTACCCCATACTAACTTATATTTTGGTGACTCGATTTTTGCTTTAATGGTTGAACACTGTCACTGTTGTCCTTTTTTGTTGTATCGAGATGCTATTTGAGCATCAACTGTTACCTACTGAAGTATTAATATCATCTAGAAAAACTAGAAATATTTTGATTTGATATTCGAGTAGATACTTCGTATTTCGAGTATGAGCATCTATTGAGTTTTATTTATATCAACCATTGTCAAAAAATTGATCGAACGTTGTTTTGACAGAACTTCCTTCGCACCAAAAGTATAATGAAACATATTCAGCATTTTCGAGTTGAGTATTTTCTTCACACAATTTTGTGATGACCTAATCAACATTTACGATCAACACGTATACCACCTTGGATTGGTGCAGTGTAATACTAAAAATGACTGTATTGTATCCCCAAAATTATCTGCGAAAATCGAGTGGGCTGTTCCATCAATTTTTTGGGGGGAATAAGTAAATATTCTTATCAATTTACCATGCTTACAATAACTTTAAAACGTCTGCAAGATCTCAAAGTATTCATTTTTGCAACTCTTGAGTTATTCACTAAAATAAATTGACTGATTCATATATTTTTTTGAGTCACTGTAAAAGCAAATCTAAAAAATATGAATGCAATGATAAATTACGAAAATATACTGATGATATTTTCCACATTTTAGATGGGATCTATTCGGCAAAATCTTGAGATGACGTCTTCAAGTTTTTGGGCTTGATAAACAGATATATTTTGATTGAAAACCTACCATGCCAAACAGTAACTTCAAAACCTCTGCAATATTTCAAAATTCAGTTTTGCAATTCTTGATTCAATCAATAAAATAAATTGACTCAGTGATTAATTTTTTTGAGACACCTCCTATAAGCAAAACTAAAAAATATGAATGGAACGATAAATCACAAGTACAGACTCATCATATTTTGTACATTTTAGATAGGATTCATTTGGCAAAATTTTGGGCTGACGTCATCAATTTTTTGGAGGGGATAAGTAAATATATTTTGAATAAAAATTTATTATGCTTATCATATGTTTAAAACATCTGCAAGATTTCAAAGCATTCGATTTTGCAGATTCAAAATTAAATTGTAGGTGAAACGAAGTTCACGGGGTCAGCTAGTCTATCGATAATTTTAGAAACTAAATGAAATTTGCCGCTGACAGAGCAAGAATCATATAGGAAACTTTATTCTGTCATAACTTCTAAGTCAAAAGTTTATTCCACGATAAGCCGAACAAGAGAGAGTATGGTTCATGGGATCCACAAAGTGTGATACGTTGTATAGAAGAGTATAAAAACGGAAAAATAAGGTTAAATAAATGTTGTGACAAATATGGGGTTCCCACAAAAACTTTTATGAGACATTTTCTAATGATGCTCCACCAGGTACAGTCCATCTGTTATAAGAATTCCATAGTCCTGTAAAACCGCACAAATAATACTTCTCAAACGTTACTATTTTGTCTCACTTTCTATCACCGGAACGTTTGTACAAAGCAGAAGTTCTCAAACAAAAAACCCGTTGAATTTTAAAAGGAGATGTTTAATGAAACAGATGAAATGTAGATTTTAAGTTAGTGTTGTGTTTAATTTTCAGAACACGTTTTGCTCACTTTTTTTGTTTCAATTTTAAAAGCACGACAATTTAATTTTAAATCCCCAATGTTCGAAAGCTTAAGACTAAATTGGTGATGACTTCGAAGGACCATATCAAACACTGTTTGATAATAAAAAATGTATTTATTTTTACTAACGAGGCACTACCGATACCGACTGTTTTCGTTACGGTTCTGTTACAAGTATCCGAATAAAATTCAAAAATAGTTGTGGGGGTGGTTTTCACCACCGCCGCGCTTGCGCATTACAAAGGTCTTAACATCCAATATATCAAGGAATGTATTGGAACGAGCAACGTTACGAAAAATAATATATATATATTTTTTTAATGGAGTTATTCCAAAAAGTGGGGCGATATCGGCAACCTTACCCTATATAAATACCTTATAAATATCTACTCATTGCGATATACATGACGATTCGCTATCGGTTGTAATCAAATCCTTTCTTTGTATTAGTAAGATTGTTTAGTTTTTAGTTTTGTGGGAGCTTTTATTATTATTTTAATGCCTTATGTTATACTTAAGTTCACTGACTTTGGAATTGCGTGTTATGTATTTACTGTCTGCGGTTGATTTGAACCTAAGTTTTAGTTTCCTTTTTTTTAATCGATCGAGTTGCCAGTGCTAGTAATGTTAGTTCATGGAATTTTAGAGAATGCCTTGATTGTGTCGCTTTAAAACTAAAGATAGTGTTATGTATCGTTTATAAATTTTAAATGCAGCTAAAAGCACGTAGAGTTTGTTTAAAAAAAATTTTCAGATTCATGACCGATGACGTTATAATAAACAAAATTCAATTTTTTCAATTTCTCCTACTGAGAACGTATGCATACAATCCTGCAATGTGTCTGCATTAAAAAATGCCACGTTTTCATTGTGAATAATCAAAAATGGGTCTCCATATTATTAAAGGCAACTTGGATGGTGAAATGTACCAAGACATTTTGGAAAATGAACTCTTGCCAACATTACTTGAAAACGTGAGCTTAGAAATGCGACGATGGTACCACGTGAAATTCTTGATCATGATTTCAGTGATCACTGGATCGATAGAGCTGGTCCGATAAATTGACCTGCCAGATTACCAGTTCGCCGGATTTTTTTTGTGGGGCTATCTCAAAGATAAAGTTTACAAACAAGAACCAACAACACGTGAGAATATGATTGAACGAATCAGAAATACTTGTGCCGAAATTCAAGCATACACATTTCTCAGTGTACATTCAATATGCATTGAATTCCAAGGCCATCATTTTGAGCACTTACTTTAATTGAAAAATGATGAGGCGAGGGGACTCATGTAAATTAAGCACCCTAATAAGTGCGAGGAGAAGAGACTCACATAAATCAAGCAGCTTAATAGGTGAAAGGCGAAGGAATTCACCTAAATCAAGCACCCTGAGAAGCGAGGGGACTCACCTCAATCAAGCACCCTGGTAGGTGAGAGGCAAGGGGACTCACGTTAATCTAGCATTCCGAAGGGAACAGAACACTACTTCGTCCACATCATTGTTCCTGGGTTACGCTAAAAGTAGTTTGTAGTCATTTACATTTCTACAAATAACAATTTCTATGTTTTTTGAAATTGACAACGTGATTAAACTTTTTTGGGGACGAATTTCGAGTATTAAGTAAAACGTGGTGTTTTTTATTGCCAACGAATCGCAGAATCGTATGCATAGGTTCTCAGTAGGAGAAATCGAAAAAAGAAAATGTTTCAGACAAATCATACGTACTTTTAGCCGTAGACTCCGAATCTGCAATAAAAAATAGCAGTTCTACTGTTTTGTAGAAGATAAGTTAAACACATCGCGAATGGTATAATCATTTTTAAAACTCAAACTAAACTAAGAAAAAGTTTCGCTTGGAACACTTGTTTTTTTATTAGTTGTACAGAGACAGCAATCGCGATCAAAGATGGCCATGAATTTTTGAAAGTTTGGCTTTGATCAACCATCAAATCAAATTGACGGTAATCTGACAAGATGAAGATTCTAGCAAAGACAAATCTTCAAAAATTCATTTCTATCTTTAATCGTGTTTTTATTGCTCCCAGGGTACTATCTGTCTAATAAGAAAGTTATATATTTATTTGTTTTTCATTTACTTACCAACTGGAAATAGGAAATCTTTTTCTCCTCCTTTTGACTACTAACACTTTGGATTTTAACCTTCTTTTGGGTAAATTTCCTATAACAAAAATATGATAATGATATAATAAATAAATAAGTATATGTGGTTTTAATACAGCTTTCTAAATAACTTTTTAGAACGACGCATTTTTAGAAGAGACAAGCATACTAATTATATGATATATATTGTAACGCCAAAACCAAATCAATTAGATAAAATAATAATATAATAATTCAGGTATTAAAAGTAAATATTTTTTGTGACAACTGACATAAATTAAAAAGAAGATAGTGTAAATTGTTAATCTACAGGTACCTACAGAAACATGCCATGTGTATGTTTCGAATGAGTTTTCCATAATAAAATTTTATGATGAATTAGCACTTTTCTTATCGAGGAGTTATGTCATTTTGAATACGTACAGCGTACTACTACTAATAACAGCACTGTACTACAGAAATTTTGGGAGAATGCGTTAGGCCGTTTTTAATTTAGTCAAAAAATAGACTGTTCCATTCCTGAATGTTTGAGTCACTCTGTGTTTTAAAAAATTAATTTAATAATAAACGAGAATATAGATACATCAATATAATATTTTTGCACATTTTAGATAAGTTTTATCCAGCAAAATTTTAAAATGCCGTCATCAAGTTTTTCGATGCGATAAAAGGTTCAATTTCCATTAGCGATAACCTTAAAACAATTGCAAAATCTTAAAGGATTGGATTTTGCAGTTTCTAATTCAAATAATAAAATCTTGTGTGGTGATCAAATTTGAATTAAAAATTTCGCGCTGAAAAAAAAACAGCGGTGCGAAATCGCATTTGAATAATTAGAATTTGAAAAAAAAATCAATCAAGCAAATCGTTTTAAACATAGGCAACCATGTGCACGTTTAGTTCTTTTCTGGTAGTTGGTAGCTCTACTTTCAGTTAGAGGGTTGGTAGTGAGAGGGTTGGTATAAAGAAGATGGTTTGGTTCGTAGAGGGTCGGGACACGTCACTTTTTGATTTGTTTGATGTGAGTGAAACCACGTGGTGCGTTAGCTACGTTAAGTTTAGTTGGTTTGGTAGTTAAAAAAAGGAGGAAGCCTTTGCTTAACGAAAATTAATCGTAACGGCGACGATGCCCCAGTTCCCTCAACATGCGTAGCAAATTCTTGCGGTTTTTCCAGGCGGAAAATGCGAATTTTCAAAATCTCAATTCAGAGTCATAAAGTACATCTGTAAGATGTACGTGTTACATTATAACACTTCTAAATTCTTCACAAAAGATTGCTAATACATAGTTCATTTATGGCAGTTTCAAATTCAAACGATGTTCCTGGCCTTTCATTTGGATTGTTTTACAGTAGATGGACCATCAAGCGTTGCAAATTTTAGTTGAATGTTTACACATCCATAGCAACGAAAATTGCAGTGGTAGTACGAATTTTTAGTTTTTTACTTCCCGAGCGTAAGCAAAGGAAGTATTGTAATCGAGTCCGTCGGCCGACTCTCTACTTTTACGTTTTCTCGATCTTTCATGACCCCTAGAAGATGAAGAAATAGGTCTCCTATTTCCGTCTGTCTGTCCGTCTGTCCGTCTGTCCGTCCGTCTGTCCGTCTGTCCGTCTGCCGTCCCGGATTTTTATTAGACAGATAATCTCCGAAAGTACTCGACCGATTGTTGTGAAATTTTGTACTTATATTAAGAATATCATGTAGATGGTAAAACGCTAACCAAAATTTGTCTAATCATCCCCACCACTAATGCGATGACGTCACTTCAAAATTGTACATAGTAAATGGGTTTTCAATTGTATAAAATAACATAGACCTACACATGTAGTTTACAACTCTTCGACTTTTCACCCGAAACGTCCAGATTTTTGGAAAAAAAATCAAAATTATAAAACAACATTTTGAAATTTAATTTTTAATCTGCTAACCAGAATGCTTTGAAATGTTGCAGATGTTTTAAGGCTATAAAGAGCATCATAAATCTTTAGTCAAAAAATATTTGCTTATCCCCTCCAAAAACTTGATGACGTCAGCTCAAAAGTTTGTGGAATAAATCATATCTAAAATGTACAAAATATGATGAGTCTGTACTTGTGATCTATCACTCCATTCATATTTTTTGGATTTGCATATACAGGGTGACTCAAAAAAATTAATGAATGCGTAAATTTATTTTACTGATTTACTCAGAAACTACAAAACCGAATGCTTTGAAATCTTGCAGATGTTTTAAGGTTATAAAGAGCATAATAAATGTTTAGTCAAAATATATTTGCTTATCCCCTCCAAAAAATTGATGACGTCAGCTCGAAAGTTTGCCGAATAAATCCTATCTAAACTATAGAAATATGAAGAGTCTGTACTTGTAATTTATCACTCCATTCATATTTTTTGGATTTGCATATACAGGGTGACTCAAAAAAATTAATGAATGCGTAAATATATTTTATTGATTTAATCAGGAACTACAAAACCGAATGCTCTGAAATCTTGCAGATGTTTTAAGGTCATAAAGAGCATAATAAATGTTTAGTCAAAATATATTTGCTTATCCCCTCCAAAAACTTGATGACGTCAGCTCGAAAGTTTGCCGAATAAATCATATCTAAAATGTACAAAATATGATGAGTCTGTACTTGTCATTTATCACTCCATTCATATTTTTTGGATTTGCATATGCAGAGTGACTCAAAAAAATTAATGAATGCGTAAATATATTTTATTGTTTTAATCAGGAGCTACAAAACGGAATGCTTTGAAATCTTGCAGATGTTTTAAGGTTATAAAGAGCATAATAAATTTTTAGTCAAAATATTTTTGGTTATCTTCTACAAACAACTGATGACGTCAGCTCAAAAGTTTGCCCAATAAATCGTATCTAAAATGTACAAAATATGATGAGTCTGTACTTGTGATTTATCATTCCATTCATATTTTTGGATTTGCATATGCAGGGTGACTCAAAAAAATTAATGAAGGCGTGAATTTATTTTATCGATTTAATCAGGAATTACAAAACCGAATGCTTTGAAATTTTGGGAATATTTTAAAGTTATTATAAGCATGGTAAACTTTTGTTCAAAATGTATTTGTTCATCCCTCCTAAAAAAATTGATGACGTCACCCTTAAATTTTGCTGAATAAATCCTATCTAAAATGCAAAAAATATGATGAGTTTGTACTTGTGATATATCATTCCATTCATATTTTTTAGATTTTCTTAAGAGGTGGTTCAAAAAAATTAATGAAGTCAATTTATTTTATTGATTAAATTAAAGGCAACACTTATTATTAGTATTACACCCCAACCAACCCAATTTGGTAGACACAAAATTTGTTAAAGGAAAAACTCGGTTGATCCATAAGGGCAGTACGCTTATTTACATCGACTTTAACATTACAGACCTGCATTTGTTTTATGCGCTCACTTGGTTCCGCGAATGTGAAATAGACATGTTTATAATCAACCAATTGTGAATTTCACCGTCAAGAATTAAAATAAAACCCAATGTTTTATACAGGCTGACTGCGAAATAGGGGCGGAAAAAAAATCCATTAAAGCTTACTGTAAATGAGGAAAATTGGCAGATTTCGTTTTTGAAATTGCTGCCTCAATTTCAAGAAAAAAATAAAACAAATTGAGTTCAATTTTCATGGGACGCCAATGATTATAATAATTTTTTTAACTTCCATAGTAACCTAACGATTTATGCTTTCCGAACGTAAGCTAAGGAAGTTTATCAAGTTACCTACGTTTTTTCCACCTTTAATTTCAAACCGTCAGTTTGATATAAATGAATTAATTTTCATTTTAAAATGGCAATGTACACAAATATTGAACGAACCGATATGGTTCTCATTTATGGTGAAGCACGAGGAAATGCTGAAGAAGCCAGGCGGATTTACATGGAACGTTTTCCCCAGCGGCTTGCTCCTGCTGCCGGGACATTTATAAAAAACGTTCAGCATCTGAGGGATCATGGAACTTTTAAGCCACAAACCCAAGATCGGGGACGTGTTAGGACCAGGCGGATCCTAGACGTGGAACCCCAAATTCTTCACACGGTTGAAGCTGAACCGGGTATTAGCACTAGGAGACTTGCGGTACGTCATGGTATTTCTCAGTTCATAGCGTGGCGAACATTAAAAGAACAGGGTTTACACCCGTACCACGTTCAGAAGGTGCAAGCGCTACAACCTGGTGATCCTGCGCGTCGGCAAGTGTTCTGTCGGTGGTTATTACACAAAGCTGAAGAACAACCAAATTTTGTAAATAATTTGTTAACAACTGACGAAGCAGGATTTACAAGAGATGGGGTGTTTAACATGCATAATACCCATGTTTGGGCTGATGAAAATCCTCACGTCATTTGGGAACACCGATTTCAACGAAAGTTTCACGTCAACGTATGGGCAGGACTTGTAGGTGGTCGTCTAATTGGACCTCACGTTTTACCACCTCGTTTAAATGGAGTTAGGTACTTACATTTTTTGGAAAATGTTTTGGTCGACCTTTTAGACGATATTCCCCTAGACGTAAGACAAAATGTGTGGTTTTTACATGATGGGGCACCCCCCCATAATGCTCGTGAAGTGCGGGATTGGCTTGACCATAATTACAACCAACGTTGGATTGGTCGCGGTGGTCCTGTTTTGTGGCCTGCCCGGTCACCAGATTTAAATCCTTGCGATTTCTATTTGTGGGGCCATTTGAAACAACGAGTTTACGCCACACCGGTCGACGGTGTCGAAGAATTAGTGGATAGAATAGAAAATGCTGCTCAAACTATTCGACAAAACCCCGCCGTTTTATCAAGGGTTCAAGAATCGCTGATTCGACGAGCTAGAGCATGTCTCGATAATAACGGTTTACATTTTGAACAGTTTCTTTAATGTTGTTTTATTTTTATTTTATTTTTTTCCTTTATTAAAAATTCGAGTTCAACTAAAATAACTGTTTACGAAGTTTTATTTCTATGAACTATTAGCAATAATTGCAGCAACAAGTTTTAACAATCAGGTTGCTATGCATATAATTTTTACCTGTAGGTTGTT